CCCACTCACACTTTGTTGCTGCCAAGTCCTAGGGCTTTATCTCACTTCATGTACTTGTAACAAGGCCTCATCTGCGCTGCAGCTGACCCTGCAGTACCAGCTACCTTCAGCCATTTTTGTTCCTCCGACCAGTTTCCTCATTTGGCTCTTAAGTAACTTCTACTGTTTAGCATTTTACCACACAGAACCATCTACAGTCTCTACCACCTTACTTGCTAAACTGTCTCCTGCACCTCCCTCTTCTCTTTGAGCTAGGATTTTTGCACTCTAAGGCTCCCAGTTTACACTTAGCTTAGGGTGGACCCCTCCTCCACAAATCAACTACTCAATTTTTAAGTTCTGATACAAAGCTGATAAATCCTATGTAGAAGTTGATGAAACCATGCTCAAACAGACCTCAATGGAAAACACTTGAACACAATTCTTGTCTTTCACCTTCACCGTATAATTAATCTAGCTTGTAATCCTTACCTCATGCTTTGCAATTCTTCACCTTACAGCTGACTACTATTCACTTTAAATGAATTGACACTAAAGCAGGAAGGTAGCTGTTAAACATGCAGGTGATAAACATGAAGGGACCCCATCAGCTCAAGGGACCACTGGAAACTGACTGGGTAGAAAAATCCATTCCTAACTTGCACAAAGACTGTGCAAGAAAACAAGTTCTCTGTTACTTTCACCAACAAGGCAGTGAGAATAGACTTGAATGTATATAAACCTTCAAGCCCATCTTACTTCTCACTGATACATACTTTCATCCCACAAGACACAGGCATTTTGCTTTGCCTAGCTGATTTAAAGGGCAGTTGGAGGAGGCAAGTAGCTAAGTAAGGTGCTAAGGAATACCTTTTGGACATGCCTGCTCTGTGCTGTGTATGTTATAGTGAAAGGAAGGAGAATAACTCTGGGCCCAGAAATGCTATACGTGATTGACTGAAATTAAGAACTGTTACATTCAGATGAAGAACAAATACATCAGAAATAACATTCCTAATAATATTACTGCTAAAAGCAGTGGAAATTCAGGCATAGCCTCCTTCTGTAATGACATCCACGAGCAGGGAACATTACAAAATTTCAAATGCAAGGATTCCCTAATGGGATATCTTCCTAATAATCCCCTGGAGCCCCCAAAGCCAGTACGTGTGATAGCACTTCAGGCATAGACATGCTGTAACTCTGTACTAACTCTGGCCCTGCAACAGAGTAGCTATGGGCACAAGCCCTGGAAAACTGCCTTTCAGCAGGCATATTCCTTCTCTACTCCCACCGCACTCCCTGTGCAGTGCATGATACGCTCAATCTTATTCCTTCTGAAAACAATAAAGGAGAACCTCATATATCCTCAGGATAGCCCACACCAAGCGTGATTACACAAAGTATTAGCTTGTGAAATTTAAAGAAAATATGCTGTATTCTACCAAATGAAAAGTGCTCTGACAGTTTCTCAAATGATACAGGCTGAGTTCCTAGAAATAAAAAAAAAAAAAAAAATTAATAAGGAGAGCATGAAGTTAGTGGCCACAATTTTGTGAATAGTCTACATTCATTCATTCTTCTATATGCTCTTGAAGTATTAGGAAGACTAAAGGAAGTGAATAAAAACTTAACTTTATAGGCTTCAATTCTGAGTATTCCTAATTTTTAATTCCACACATCTTATCATTCCTGAAGACATGTATTTAAATGGAATACCTTAAGACATCTCCTCTAGCTTTTCATGATGATTGAAGAGGAAACAGAGCAGAGCAGATGGGATGGTCATTTGAAGAACGCATAAGAGAGATTAGGAAACAGTAGTTCCTAGGAAGAAGAAGAAACACAGTGTACCACAACTGTGCCTCTGTGTTTTGAGCAACTTCTGTAGATTGCCTTGGTCAAGGGAAATTGGTTTCTTCCATCTCACTACTCAGCAGCTCAGGGCCAGTAAGCTGATAATATACGTTGTGCTTCATGAGGCCTTGAAAGTGTGGCTGGCCTCTGCCTCCAGCTCACAGGAGCACCACAGGCCATATACAGTGTGCTTTATTCACGTGAGATTCCCTGAGCCAGGGCCTTAGGTGAGCTCTGTGTCACTGTCTTCTGTTCCTCAGCCTCAGTTCTCCATTTATCAACACATAAGGGTGTTTGTTTTTTGTGTTTGTTTGTTTGTTTTTTTTTTTGTCATTCACACCAACTTGAGGCATTTGTCAGAGACTGAAGGATCCTATCTACTTTTTGAGTCCCCCAGGGATACAAATTTCCCTCTGTCAACATGAGGATGTAATATATACATCCATTACAGCATGATATCAATAAATAATCTTATCCCACAGCAGAAGAATTTCATAGAAGGAGAAAGAAGCGGATTAAAATGGTTCAGAATCAAAATTCCCAACTGAATAAACCTTATTTTCACATTTCTTGAAGGGAGAAAAATATATTTCTGTGAGCTTGGTCAGGAAAGGGAATAATGTATCACTTCGATAAACATAGCATCTAAGAACATTAAATTTTTAAAATACGTTGTTAAGTACAAATATTATTTCATAGGGAAATTGTTTTCTATTGTTTTATGAGGGTTAACCTTGGCACTGGCAAAAGATAGGAAGTACTTGTTTAAAGAACATTAAAGAGCAAACAAAGCCATGACTACACTAAATCTATGTTTCGAATGCGGAGTTACGATCTCTTTTCCTGTAAATTTTAAATTGTGTAATGTGGTCATATAAATATTAGAAAAACAGAGGGTCATTGTAACCCTAATAAGAGCAAGAATCCAACACAGTAGTTCAGAATAGAAAAACGAATGTGATTTTTAGAAACATAATTGAAAAATAGCAGCAGACATTCTATTCATGGGAAAAATGTATTATACCACTGTAAGCTGCCATAAAAGAGCAGGTAAAAATAGCTGTATCAGGAAAGGTAGGAAAGTTTTTCTATCGCCCTTTTTGAACCAGAAAGCCATTAATGAAATTTAAGAAAAGGTGGTTTCTGTTCAAAGACTACAAGAGGAAAGGTGCAGCACATGCTGTGTGGATGGTATCCTGAGAAAAATTCAGAGCTAGAAAACACAGAAACAAGGGCTTAATTTTTTGTCACACATTTTTCTCTTTATAGCAACTTTGTTGAGTCCTATTACATGCCTTAGTTACCCAGAGCAGATAGGAAAAGTAAGTCCAAAACCAAACAGAACATATTTTTTTATTATTATTTCTAAAGAATCAAGAGGTAAAAATGACAGAGGATTCAGTAGGAGAGTTACTCAGGTTTTGCAATAGAATTATGGAAAAAAAAAAATAGAATCTTACAAAGACTCAGATGAATAAGATCTTTTGATAATGGGACCTCATGCAATTTGGATGCTTTTATTTATGTTCTGGGCTCTCAGGTGTGATGATCCCATGTAGCATTTCCTCTCTGCACTTACGTCTCCCTGATGGATGAAAGGGGAAATGCAGTGTAAGAATCCATAGCCATCAAACATTATGGGATATGCAGTCCAGCCAGAAAGTCCAGCCTAGCAAGGAGAATAGAAGAAAAAGTAGTGTTAAAGACAGATCTCAAGAAATGTTGCAAAATCATTTTGAATCAGAGTGCTTCAGACTCCTAATAAAAATTGAAAATATTTCAGTTTGGGCCTTTTAAATGTGCCAATGGAATATCTAAAAGATTCAATTTTTTAAAAAATTACAAAGCATCTAGTAATGTAAACAAAATGTTTCAATAACTCCACTTACTCTTACTATACAATAAGCATTCATAAACATCATCAAACTACAGTTTTTCATTTGTCACAGTGCAAGCCGTAAGTGCCAGATGAAGTTAATAGATCTCAGATTAGGAGTTCATCTACACAGAGGCAGAATAAAGCAGACTCTTTGTCTGGTATTTAATCTTCTTTTGAGTTTACTGGGACATGTGCACACTGGAAGGCATCACATGGCCTGCAGAAAACCCATCTTCTGTTCCCTCTTAACCTACTGGGAGAACTGGAAAAAATTTGGACTCATGACCTCAAGTGAAGCATTGGGCATATGACCGTCTTTCATGCAGCATTTAATAAAATCACTGGTAGAGTTTTCCAGTACTCTCAAATTAATTTAACTGTTCTAATTAAGCTGAATGTATTTACTCTGTCCTATGTGACATCTTGTGCCAAGGTGCACACGATTCATTCTCACTTCTTGAATGAGAGTTAACATCTCTCATGTATGTATACTACAGGTTTCTGAAAGTCTTGCCTGCCTTTCTAGGTTGGAATAATTCTCACTCATTAGCTCACTAGTTTCAACTACATACTGCATAGAGTAGCAATGCAAAATCATTGTCCTACTTTTACTTGTCTTAGTTCACTGTAACTACTCTTCCCCCCCAGCATCTCCACGTAACATGTTTCTCCAAGCCTTCTCCCACCCAACCTCCTCCTCAACTCCCATCACTCTTGCAAAATTTCACATTGCATTTCTAGCTTATTTGTGTCTTCCACATCAGCTCACCTTCTCAGAGGAAGCTTTTTTGTTTTAAGAAATGAGTGCTTCAAAATACATACTTGTTTTATTAATACAGAGATTGAAAATTGTTGTACTATTATGAAATAACTCTTTATATTTTGGAAAAATTCAGTATTTAAGTGGACATCCATGAAGATTTTAGCTAGTCATTTATTTGCTTTTAGGTGCTTGGATTGTCAAAGTGTTTCCTGGGGCAACAATTTTATACATAATGTTAAGAATTTCCCTGTGTAGCACTATTTGTTTTCCCCCACTCACGTATTTTTGAAGCAAAACAGAAGTCATCCACTGAGTCACGATACTCACTTGAGAAACACTCCCAAGGAGCCAGTGCTTGGGTGCCTCTTTGGTGAGAGGCATTGCTGCAGTAGCTAAGAATATGACCTATAATGCAAAAACTGAAAGGAAACAAAAACTAAGGCCACTACACACCTTGCCAATACCACTGCTTTTGGACGCTGAGGGCACAGAAGTCGTTTTTCACGTCCCTCTTCCCCGTAGTTTCTGCGGCTGCTGTGCGTGACCCTCCCTCAGGGCCAGCACGCACCTCAGGAGGGGAGCCAGCCGCCGCGGCGGGCTGCGGGCCTCAGAGAGCTGCGCACGAAGCCCGCTCGGAGGGAGGCAAAAAGGAGAGAAGGCTCCCAAGAGAGACATTTACAGCAGAGACCCCGGGGAAACGCCTCAGACACAGGAGGGCCCAGCCCGTCACAGCAGCGCCACCGAAACGCAGCTTCTGCCTCAAAGAAACCAGTAACGCCCTCCTCGCTCAGCTTATGAGGCGGAGCGCGTCGGTGACGTCACACTCCTTCAGCCAATAGCGACCTCTGTTTACTCCGAGGGGGCGCTGGGTGCATATTCCTGAGGCAGCCCCCCGCGCCCGGCGGTTGCCGCAGCGGCTCCTAGCGGGAGGCGGAGCGACGCCGCCCCCCGCCCCGG